GGTAGCAACCTTGGCCTTGTGTTTGGTAGCTCTGGTTGCGCTAACCTTATCCATCGGATTCTTGATCCTGGACTAGACCTTGTTGAGTTGAGTGAGGTAGTTTGCTGCGCTAACCTTAAGCATCGGTCAGAGGACTATCTCTAGCATATTGTTTAGCCAACATGTTGGAAGATCAAATGATATAGGTTCCATCACCTCAAGTTACTGAGGCAATAGAACCCAGGGAGCAGTTGTGAGGACGTAGTTTAAGGGTCGTGCCATGTGGCCGAGGTACGGCCAACGTGTTAGCTGAGGTGCTACGTAGACGAGCTAGATTGCTGAGGTGATTGTGATATTGCTGAGATATGGTACGGTAATACTGAAATCTAAGATATTTGGATAGAGGGAAAGAGTCCAAATAAGTGAGTGCTTAGTTTCGGATACAGATGAGGCTCTTGAGAAGTTCATCTATATTTAACTAAGAGTCCAAGATAAGCATTGTACTTGAGTTCTATGAAATGAGACTTCTAGAAGAAAGGGCACTGCTAGCTATAAAAGAGAGACATCCCTGTGGGTCTAAGGTATGCTCTTACTTGCGCATTGAATACTTGATTTGATATCTTTAAGAAATAAGTAATTGACTTGATCTTTAGAGTGCCCTAGGGTGGATGAGCCACCGCGATATTCTTATCTTCTTGTTGGCAGGTGTTTGGTTTAATCTATTCTGCCGTGTACTTTCCAGCTAAGTTTCCCATTTGGTTGTAAGGTTGAAAATTAACACCCACAAGAAGTTATATTTAAAATTAATAAATTTTAATTTGGTTTTGTATGTATTAAACAATCTGTTTTAATTCAAAACTTAATTTTTTATCAAATAGTTTTTTATCTTAAGAAAATAAAAATAAAATTAGCATTTAATTTTTATTACTTAATTTTCAACTTTTAATTTTTAATTTTGTCAAACATCACCTTAATATAACATTAACCTTACAAATAGGATTTGTAAATAATTATCTCTTGATTTAATTATAAATTTAGTTTTATCAAGAACCAAACCATCTATGCACACCCTTAGTGAGTAACGAAGAAAAAATAAAGTAAAGAAAGATTTCATATCGTATCAGGATGGCCGGCTATGGGCCTGCGTAGTTGCCGGCAGACGACTGACTAAGGCAATATTTGACATTTTCTATATTAGTATTTTTTTAAAATTTTTTTATTAATTTTAGATCACATTTTTTTAAATTTTTTTTATATATCTTTTTATGAAAAATTTAAAAATATATTTATTTAAATCATTCAAAGTACTTCTAAAATGGTGCAAAAAGCAGTCGGTCCTCATGGGTGACTCTACCCTAGAGGTATTATATATGCAATCGAACATTCTAAAAACAATTTTTTAATAGATTAAAAATATATGTATGTTAAAATTGTTCTTTCTCTAAATATGAATATCTTATGGCATTTCATTGAACATCCAATCAACCCAACTCACTTTGTTGAATGTCTAATTCGTAACATACGAACTCTTAAAATAATAATTATAAAATTATCAACTTTTCTTATCATAATTTGATTATTACTTTATATGCCAATACCACATTGGTTTACTGAATGCCACCACTCATACTTTTTACTAGTATATAAACTTAAGAAATGATAAATAAAATATGATAAGAAATGTGATTATTAATGTTCTTAATATATATATATATATATGATTGTAATTTATATATAGAGATTGTAGTTTGTTTTTGTTTATTCTCTTTAGTATGTATAATTTTTTTAGACAATAATCCAATGTAAAGTATATATTCATATATTTTATGGAAAATTTATCCATAAATTCAACTTTAGGAAGGGTGATCCCGTTTAATTCTAAGAGTTTTTTTATAAACCAACTAGTCTCATTGATTTTGAAACGAGAGATTTAATATATTATTTGAAAATTAAATTTACGGTTATACTTTTATTTCTATTATGTTTTCTTTTCTCTCCCCCTCCCATAATTATGCTAGAAAGGTAAGATACACAATTTATGGAAATCAAATTTGGGATTAACTTTTATATGAGAATCTTTTTTATTTGAAATGACTTGAAATGTGAAAATTTTCAAACATTTCAAAAGTACTACAAATGATTTAAAATATGTAATTCTTCAAACATTTCAAAAAGAATATAAAAACATATTAGTAAGTTTTAGTGCCAACGTATAATTTAAACTGCAACACTCAAACGTAACACTCTAATGTAAGACTCTAAAAAAAATTTTTAGTTTACTTTCTTCAAATGTAACACTTAAATGAAACACTCCCAAAAAAACTCTTTAGTGTAACACTCAAATGTAACACTCCAAAAAAAATTCTTTATTATACTTTTTCCAAACGTGACACTCCAAAAAAACTCCTTAGTGTAACACTCCAATGTAACACACAAAAAAAATTGGGTAAACTACCAATAGGTCATAATAGTTAGACTTAATTCCCGTCAAGTCCTATTGAAAATAAGTCTTGGTAAAATTATCACTAAAAATAATTTTTTTATGACAATTTTTTACATACGTAGCTAAAAATTAACAATTAGTGACTTTTTTTGTCATGATTTTTATAAATTGTCGCTAAAATTTAGAATTAGTGACTTTTTTATTACAAATTTTTCCCATAGAACCTATTAGACAATAAGTCATCTTATTAGGACCTACACGTAAATACCCCAAAAAATTTCTTAGTGTACTTTTTCTAAACGTAATATTCCAATATAAACACGAGAGATTTAATATATTATTTAAAAATTAAATTTACGGTTATACTTTTATTTCTATTATGTTTTCTTTTCTCCCCCCCTTCCCAAAATTATGCTAGAAAGGTAAGATACACAATATATGGAAATCAAATTTAGGATGAACTTTTATATGAGAATCTTTTTTATTTGAAATGACTTGAAATGTGAAAATTTTCAAACATTTCAAAAGTACTACAAATGATTTAAAATATGTGATTCTTCAAACATTTCAAAAAGAATATAAAAACTCATTAGTAAATTTTAGTGCCAACGTATAATTTAAACTTCAACACTCAAATGCAACACTGTAATGTAAGACTCTAAAAAATTTTTTTAGTATACTTTCTTCAAATGTAACACTTAAATGAAACACTCCCAAAAAAAACTTTTTAGTGTAACATTCAAATGTAACACTCAAAAAAAATTTCGTAGTATACTTTTTCTAAATGTGACACTCAAATGTAAGACTTCAAAAAAAAAAAAAAAAAGAAAACTCGTTATTATATTTTTTCCAAACATAATACTCAAATATAAGAATTTAAAAAACAAAAAAAAACATGTTAATATATTTTTTTCAAACATAACATTCAAATGTAATACTCTAAAAAAAAAAAAAATCCTTTTTTTTTTTTTTTTTTTAATTTAAAAAAAAAAAAAAAAAAAAAAAAACCCTTATATAAAACCCTAAATTTAAAATTTAAAAAAAAAAATTTTATATACTTTTTCCAAATGCAACACTCAACACTAAAAAAAAAAAAATGAATAAATAAATAAAAAATGCTTAGTGCAACACTCCAACGTAACACTCAAAAAAACTTCTTAGTGTACTTTTTCCACACGTAACACTCTAAAAAAAAGATGTTGGATTCTTTAAACCATTCGAAAAGAAGTACAAAAATTTCATAGTAAGTTTTGGGCTAATATATAATATCAAATTGTGAGTGTTATGTTTGGAAAAGAACACTAAGGAGTTTTTTTAGTGTTTTTATGTGTTACATTTGAGTGTTATGCTTGGCATTACATTGATTGGTGTGTTACGTTTGGAAAAAATATACTAATGAGGTTTTTATTTTTTATTTTTTATGTTACATTGGAGTGTTACGTTTGGAATTATATTGATTAGAGTGTTACGTTTAGAAAAAATACACTAATGATTTTTTTTGTATATTATATTAGAGTGTGTTGTATTGGAATGTTATGTTTGGAAACAGTTTGGAGTGTTATATTGTTACGTTTAGAAAAAATACACTAAAGAGTTCTTATTATGTTACATTAGAGTGTTACGTTATTGGAGTGTTACATTCTTGTTCGTAATGTGAGATTTGTTTTAGAAGGAAGAAAAATCTAAAAGCTCTATAGTGCGGATTGCCTAAACGAGTAATTTCACATTTAGAGAAATCCACTTATATTCCTAAAAAATTAAACCCAAACGTGTAAATGACTACTTTTTTGTGTAATTTCCACATTAACAGGACTTTTGAATACATAAGAAAAAATTAAGGACTAAAAAGTTCACAAAATTATATTTTAAGATATATTGATACTTCCCTCATATTTTATTTCTTGTGTCAAATCTTATGCCTCAAAAACTTATTTTGTAATTTAATGCACAAATTAAGGTGTTGTTTGATAAACTTGGCTTTTTAATTTTTTTGACTTTTTTAGCCTGGAATTTTTTTGTTCGTTCGGTTTTCTTGTTGGCTTTTTTGGCTTTATTGCATTGGAATGACAAATATGCCCTCCACTTAGAAATGATGCTTTTTTTACTTTTTGTTTGTATATGGGCCAATTTGGTAATTTTGCATCAAAAGTCAAGTATTTTGTCATTTTGTGATTTTGTAGCTTTTTTTTGTCCGTATGTGCTTATATAGTCTCAATGTGCTTACCAAACGAAGGCTAACTATAGAGAAACTGAACTCTATGAGGTAAAAGTCTCGTTTTATTATGGAGGAGGATTCCCTTCGACTGGAGGAGATTATTTGGATATGTGGGGTCAATTAATATGAAATATTTAATAAATTAAATGGTTCAAATTATTAGCAAAGTCTAAATTAATAAATTTTTATAAAATTCAAATTTTGTAATATCTATGATGAAAAATATATCTGGAGTTGCAATGTCGGTCCTTTGAATCAAATCAGACACTACGGCTGGTGGTGCACATATTTCAACATTTGTATTAATTTTTTTATTTTTTTTATAATAAATAATCAAGTGTTAGGGTCACCATTTGTTTCAAATATAATCAAATCAATTCATTAACGATAGAGTAATGCCCATATCTGAGTTTCATTTTCATTTTTATTTCTATTTTAGGATAAGAAGTACGCAAAACCAAATTGAGATTGCCAAAAAAAAAAAAAAAAAAAACATGCATTGCGTTGAGCATTCTTCTTCTTGTTTTGTTTAGTAGTCGTCCTCGTCATAGTCATCGTCATCGTCATCATCCTCCACCTTCTCTGCCGCTTTATCGGCAATCTTGTCCTCCATGTAATCAACTCCCTCTGCTAGCGCTAGTCCACCCAACACCCCAGCCACCGCTCCCACAGCCAATCCCGTCCCCATCCCATACTTGCTCTTCTTCCCTTGATCCTGCTGCTGCTGCTGCTGCTGGTTTCTGTAGTACGACTCCTGCCCCTGCCCGTACACTGCTGGTGGGGGTGCAGCCTGGCCGTAGCTCCCCTGCCCCCCATACGCCAACGGCTGAGACTGACCGTAGGGATATCCAGAGGGTGGCGCCGACTGCTGGTAGGGATTCGGGGCGTAAGAGTTACCGTACGGCTGCGGAGCAGAAGAGGAGTATTCCCTGGAAGGAGGAGGGGCGTAGTAGGGGTCAGGCGCACGATAGCGGAGTTCGCGGAGGCAGATCTTGAGTTGGACCGTGCCATGGGGGCGGCCGGAGGGGCGCTTCAGATCCAGGTTGTGGGTGGCACGCTCGCCGAAGCCGACGTCGCGGAGGGGGAGGCGGGCAGAGCCGATGAGAGGCTTGGTGTCGTCTTTGGCATTGGCGTGGACTAGGTCGAGGTGGAAGGTGGAGTCCTGGATGGGAGAGATGAAAGGGATGATGAGTTTCTGATCCCAGTAGGGATAGATGTCGCCATCGTCGTCGACCCTGGTGGAGCATTTGTTGTTGGGCTCAATCCACACCACGGCGTATGGTTTCAGTCGGCCGTAACGCCAGTTCACGTTCTTCAGATCCTTCGCCGACGTCACGGTTACCTCCATTTCGTAACGGCAAGCCATTGGATACTCAAAATTTGACAACTAATTGGGTTTGAAATGATTAGTAGGTTATTGCGTACTTATATTACTTAATCGAGGGGAGGGGTATGCCTAGTAATCAAATGCCCATTTGGCCTTTTGGGTCTCCTCTATTATTATATTGCAATAGGATTACCAACTCGCCACTCAATGAATGTTCTTAATTGAAATTTGACTTCACTAGAACAAATTAGTATTCTTCCTAATGAAAATTACGATATGAACCCTCTGACATTTGGGGGAGAGTTATGAACACAGGGCTGAGTTAAGGAAAAAAATCTGCATATCGAACCGTATCATTTAAAATTAGGGCAAATTACATATACACCCCTCCAGGTTTGGTTAAATTACAGATACCCCCCTGAGGTTTCGGAAATTACATCCCGCCCCCTGAGGTTTGTATTTTCATAACAATTTACCCCCTGAGGTTTATATTTCATAACAAATTACCCCCTAATTTCTTATGCAAATATAGCATTCAGGGGGGAATTCGTAATTTCTCAAACCTCAGGGGGGTATCTGTAATTTTGTCAAACCTGGAGGGGTGTATATGTAATTTGCCCTTTAAATTATATATGTTTATTTCCTAAGTATAATTTTTTGTTTAAGTTAATAATGGAATAATATACATATTTATGTTTTGAAAGTTTATGTTTTGAAAAAAAAATAATAAATTAATATTGAATAATGTTTGCTTAATATTATTTTTTTACTTAATTGTTAAATATTATGAGAGTAGTTTATTTAATAAATATCTTATTTTTATTTTTAATATTTATGATAAGTTGAATTTTTTTGAAAATATTATATGATTTTTTTTTTGAATAATTTATGTAAAATCATAATTTCAAATCGAACCGAACCATATTTAAATTAGGATTTTTTTTTTTAAGATCCCTCATATTAAGATTTTATAGCATAAAGGACATCTAATATTTTCATAATATCTAAGGTCCCTCAAGTTGATCCAGAGAAAATTCACGTCACAGAGAAAATTGGTCCAAAGAAATTTTGAAAATTTCTCCAGACAACGTAGCAACCCTTTCTTCAAGCAACTTTTGCTCTTATTGGAAATCCAGAGAAAGTTGGAAAAGAAGAGGTTGCACTCGTTAGGGGAAGAGACGGTGGAGGAGTGGTTGATGGAGGACAGAAAGTGCATACAACATTGAGCTGATTACCAAAAAAAAAAAAAAAAAAAAGAAGCAATAACATCAGTGGGATTTGCAGACTAAGAAGCACAACCATTGAAGCAATAACATCAGTGGGATTTACACACATGGGTACAGGTATATGTGAGTGAAATCTATGAAAATATACATAATATATATAAATAATTCCCATGTTTAATAGTTCTTCTATGAGTTTGTGATAGATTTTCTTTAAACTTAATGCTACAAATTTCTCTGGGTTCAACCCAGAGAAAATTCAAATTTCTCTAGATTGAAATTTTTTCTAGAGAAAATGAATGAAGAATTTCTCTGGATCATTTTAAACCAGAGAAATTTTCTCAAAATCAATGAAATTCCTAAAGAAACATTTCCAGAGAAATTCTCTTTAACCCAGAGAAAATTCAGGAATCCATATCTGGATCATCTGCAAAGAACGAATATATGTTGTCTTCACAATCTTCAGATTTCCTGATGTATTCAGAAGCTAACTTGCAGAGATGTGGACATGCCCTTCTGTCTGCAAATCCCATTTGGCTTGCTGCACCCATTGAGGGGAGAGAGATAAAAACAAGATAGATAGATTATAGAAAGGCCGAAAAGATCCAAATGGGTATAGAAAAGAAAGAAAGAAATGGATCACATGATTTACCTACATAATGGGAGAACCTCTCGACCTTCCGGACGGGTCTGTTACCGGAGACTTTAATCCTCGAAAGGATCTTTTGATCTCTTAGCTTCTTGAGATGGTAATGCATTGCGGCAGCAATGATGAGGCCGATGGAAGAGGCTAGGAAGATCTGGGTGTAGGTTGGTTTGCCATTGCTATTGTAATCTGGAGGAGAGACATCCATGTCCATCATGAATGAGGAAATGTCAAACGCACAAAGCTGTGCCCATGAAGAAAAGTATTACATGTAGATAGATTAACTGTGTGGAGGAAGGGATGGCATCAGAGTATAGTTTTAAGGTGGCTTTAAGTGCCTTAAAAGAGGCTAGGATCAAAATTCTTGTTGTAAAGAAAATTGCTGTAAATGCCCTGAAACTTGAAACCACGGTCAGCACATGCTAGCAGGATGAGAACCTCGTTTGTTTTCTTAATAGAATCAATCAGAGTCTTCGATATGCTTTCGATTCTGAAGACGAGCCTATCCAACTCTACAGCCTTGGCTCCTCGTGTTGCTTTGCCCATCTCTTCTCTCTAGGGTTTCGGAGAGAGAGAGAGAAAGTGCTGCTTTGCAGTAGAGGAGGAGAGACAAAGAGCCAAATTTCTCTGATATATGTTTAGGGACTTTAGACATCAAAAAATAATTTTGTGGATCTCTTCCATTACGAAAACTAGGAGAGGGACCCTAGACTAATTTTCCCTTTAAATTAGTTGTTTTGGATTGATTCGTGATTTTAATGATTTGATTTGATTCTAATTTTTATAAAATTATAAATAATAAATTAATTTTGATTTCATCCCAAATTGAGATCAAACTCATTACTTTTATAAGGATATATTTTGAGAAGATGGTTACAAATTTACTTTTTAATTTTTTTAACCCTTTTAATTTTTTATATAAAAATATAAAAAATAATGTGACACTAAAATATATTAAAAATTAATTTTTGATTTTTAACCATCTTGCCAAATCTGCACCGGTATAGTAGGGATATTTTGGTCATGTGTATAAGGATTAGGTAAAGTAGGGCAAATAGGTTTTATTGAGGCGAATACTAACGCAGGATGGAATTATTAGGGGCTGGTTACTTCCACACTAAGTGTCTAATAACTGACACGTGGCTGTTTGGGAGTTTGTGCTGTGTCAATATGGCTTTAACCAAACGAACGACTAACAGCATCCTAACAGAGCCTCAAATTTCATTCATACCTATTTTAACGGATTGGTGACTCCTAATATCCTTTCATTAATACTTTTAAACACTTCATTAAAATAAAAATTGTTACAATAACTATTTATTTGTAGGGAATCATTGTAATTCCTTTCTAATTTTTTTTTTGACAATAATATACATTTATGATTTTTATTTTTTTTAAATTTATAATTAAAAATTATGTTTTAATAAAATAGTGAAATAATAGGGAGTGGAGTATGTGGGGGGAAATAAATGAAAAAATGATTCTTAAAATAGAAAATAAATTTTTTAATAATATTTTAAAATAAAATTCAAGTAATCTGATGGGAATGCTTTAAGGCTAGGGATGTAAAATAAAATAAAACAAAATTTACAAAGTTTTGACCAAATATGTCTTATTTGATAAATATTATTAAAATTTTAGAATTTTTAACATTTAAATATATATATATATATATATATTTGAGAGCATTAGTTGACAACGCCCAGCCTATCCTAACTGTCTTGAAATAGACCAGGTAAAAAGATAGACATACACTTTTAATTAGGATGAGCAGCGGATATATCGATCCGTTAAAATTGACTGAACCGAACTGATTCGTCGTATTTTGAACAGATGCGTGATGACGAGTGGACGGTTGCGGATTGATTTTCTTCAATCCGCCAATTTGGCGGACGAATAGCGGATTTGAGGTCCCTTTGACCGCAACCGAACCGCCAAACCGCGAGCACCCTTAATAATTTATAAGACTTTGTGTTTTCAATTTGTTTAAATATTTTGTTTGTGTTTTCAATTGAAAAAGAGTTTAAATATTCTGTTAAAAAAAAGTTTTCAACTTGAATATATTTTTTGGTTTTTAAATTTAACTCTAAAAGTAATAAATAGAAAATATGATATATGTTGGTTGATTTTTGTTTTCAAAAATATATATAAATGTAACAATACAGAGACATACAATCTCTACTACTGCTCTGTTCATGGTTTTGGCGGTTTGAATTGCTTTTATATTTTAAGAACCACATATTGTAATACTTTATGTGGATAAAGCATGTTGTGATTGTAATATGTGGATGAGGCATGCAGTGATTTTGATATTCTAAAGTTTCAAACTTTTTTTCTTTGGATGAGGCATGTAGTAATTGTAATATTTTTTTAAGTCCTTGATTGTAATTTTTTTTTTTTTGAGGAAATGCACAAGTTGAACTATGTTGAAAATTTATAAAATTTCAAACCGCCAAATCAATTCGCATCCATCCGCCAAACCGCCAATCCGCTCAATCCACATTTGTCGGATTAGCGGACGGATGCGGATTGATTTTCTCCAATCCGCCAATCTGGCGGACGGATGGCGGATTGGAGGTTCTGTGACCGCAACCGACCCGCGCCCACCCCTACTTTTAATCCCCCCTCTCTCTATCTCTTTATTTTCTTCCTTTTATCTCACTACAACAATTTTCACTTTTGGCGATTAAATTTTTAGTTGTCAAAAGTTAATTTTTAGTCGCCGAATAATTTTGGCCACTAAATTATTTGGTCGCAAAAGTAGTTGTCAAAAATTTGTCGTTAAAGGTAATTAGCGACTACAATTATTTTAGTCACCAAATGTATACAATTCCCGACTAAAATTTTAGTCGCCAAAAGGTTGGACATTAAATTAAATTAGACTCTTTTCGGCGACCAAACTTTTAGTCGCTTAAAGTCCTACATTTTTAGCTACTAAAATTTTAGTCGGCAAAGAGTTTTTTTTTTACTACTAAAAATTTAGTTGCCGAAAGTTCCCATCTTTGGCTACTAAATGTTTAGTCGGCAAAGAGTTCCTCTTTTGGCAACAAAATATTTGGTCGCCTAATGTTCTACATTTTTGGCTACTAAAATTTTAGTCGGCAAAAGTGTTTATAATTTAGTGTTTTGTTTTTAGTTACGAAATATTTTAGTCGCTAAATGTTTGATTTTCTTTTGGTTACTAAAGTTTTAGTCGCCAAATGTCTATTTTTTTTCTTTTTTAGCTACAAAACTT